TAAAATTAATTTAGACCATTAACATGATATTTAACATACATCAAACACAGAAACAGTAATCTTCTCCATCATGCCCTCAATTGTCTTATCATCTCAATCCGCTTATCCTAATATCAAATAGAGGACCATAAACATTACCTCCTGGTGTTACAGCTTTTAAATGGATGGAGGGGACATAGAGAATTTGTGCCCCAGGGAAGGTTTAAAACAGGGAGGGGCACTAACAAATCACAAAGCAATCACAAAGTGTCTCTGTCTGACCTGGAGCAATGTTCTAGAAAGCGTCACCTGCAGCAAGGAAAAGCGCAGAAAAACTCTCAACACGTTGTACCAGGCAGCCCAGGAATTTCTCACGGGGGAGGAAGCATGGGGTGTCCTCTGTGATAACACTAAGACAATATTCACACAAAAAGCACAACAGTTTCTTGTGAAAGTGTAAGATGTGAATGATAATAAAGATTAGTCATGCATATTTTTGTGTCTTTTTTTTTCATTACAATCCACCTCCCCTTTTCAAACAATGACCTATAACATTAATCCCATACCTAAAGTAAGCAGTTATTTTACATGATTGTAAAACTGTAAGATGTTTATTTTATATTAAATATTCAAAACAAACAATTTTTGAGTCCAAACTTTAGGGAATTTTAAAGGCAAATGATCCCTTACTCTGTGTGCACCTAGTTATTGGAATCCATTGCCTTTGGCTTAGTTAAAATACTGAAAAATTATCTATGTAACTATCTGCACAGTGCTCAAGCACAAAACCCCTCAGCTAAAGTACGTTAACACGCATTCATATTTTTCTGAACCGCATAAACCCCTTTATATCTCTCTCTCTCTAATTCTCTCTCTCCACTGATATGGTGTATAGGAGAGGTAGTTATCATCCAAATATTTCCGCTGCGGTTTCTTTCAAGCTGTGCTATAGAACACATCAAAAAGGCTTTGCAACTCTTCCAATACTAAGTAGGACAGGATACTATCAAACTTAGCAGACACTCACAAATTTCGTAAAGGCTGTTAAAGCTATTTCGCATAATTGTCTGGTTTGCCAAAATGATTTAGATTATTTTTATTAATCAAGAAAAGTGAATATAATACACAACTGATTGCAAGAACAACATTTTTGAGTGTCTGCAGATAAAAACTGCCAGGAGTGATGGCTTATCTGTGCAAATAGCCTATATCAAAATAAAAGATATGGAGTGAACATTCCATATGTCCTTACATAAATATTTGACCTGCTACCTTAGTTTATGGTATCATATTTATATTGTAGCATTATCAAATACACAAACTCTAGATTTTTCTAAAACATCTTTCCTGGTGTGCAACTCAAAGAGTGAGACTTTATTTTAAAAGGGTCTAATGAAATCTTTAATCTGGTGCTTCCAACTACATACCAGTTTCTTCTTGCCTCTTGACAAATTTTTAATTGCATTTGGCATAAATTATTTGTAACATTACCCCTATTCTTAAATAGATAAAATAATAAAATTTATCAACAAAACATTTGCTTAGCCATCACAAATTATAACTGAGAGATCACACTGAAAGCATAAACTGTGAATGATTTTTTACAGTTTGACAGTAACAAGTTTCATTTTCAAAAGTCTTCTCTATAGTCTTGAGACAGGCTCCTACTTTTATTTCACTAGCTCACTAATAACTGGCTCCTTGTACTGCCCTGCTCCTCGTAATCCAGTTGAAGAATTTGGGCCAAATAAATCCATGTAGAAGCTTACAATTGCTGTTAAATATCAGCACACTACAATAAAGCTTGATTGTTCTGGCCTGTAGGAAAAAGGAATGCTAAAACCATTCACCTAAGACCCTGCCATCTGTCTTGACCCCATCAAAGACTCTTAAGAACTTTTCTCCTCATTCTTGATGACCTTATCTGCATGATGTTGGAGGTCTGACCCTCTACAAGCTCCAACTACGTGCAAAAAGTTTGAGTTGAAGTGATGTCTACATTAAGAGGGTTGTGCCCCTTACCGTTCCATCCACACCAAAATACTCAATTGTATCATCTAAATTCACAGTTTCTCATATACTCTCAGGGCTCCAGACTGTGACCATTTTTTCTGCCGGTGCGACTAAATTTTGTGAGCACTCGCACTGGTGCGACCACCGCGTTGCCCAACTCATAAGCCCTGCCAATTCTGTTGCATATGAGAAACATCTAACGAAACGAAAGTGTAACGAAACCGCGCTATTCGTTTGAGCTGAGCAGCGCGGACCGCCTCGGACCAATAATTGAGCGCAGCGCAGTGCAAGCAAACTGCAAGCAAAAGCTCAGAACAGGATTACTTAGGAACCAGTTTTGATCTCGTGACACTGTTACTGCACCGCGCTGCGAGGTCCAGAGAAAAGCGTTTGAATTCTGCACAGAATTCTCTGTTATAAACAGATCAAACAGTGCTGACGTAGAAAACCAGTAGTAGTAACTAGGGGTGTGCGATATATATCGTCTGCGATAATATCGTAATTGTTGTTTTAACGATGTGCGATTTGACATTATCGAGTATTAACGATAACTATAACTATGGTTTTGTGGCAGAAATGGTTGAATGTTATTACATTATTCATTTTAGGGTTTGTACAACCTTTGAGAGAGAAATTCAAGCACTTTTCAGTGACTTTCAAGTATTTCACACAACTATTTCAAGCACTTTAAAGCTCTAAAAATGATCCAGTTTAAATGTTATTTTTAATGGGATGACCAAAATATGCTTTGTGGTAAACAAACACTAATTAAAATAAAAAAACACATCAAATTATCACTATAACCAGTAGATGGCAGCAAAGGAGCACTTATTGGCTTATTAGTCATTCATTTCTACTTTTTGCTTTATATTTTGAAATTATAAAATCACTATTATACAATATAAAATAATCAAAAAATCACATTTTGTCAGCGTTTTGCACTTTTTGTGTATGAAATAAGAAAAGTCACAAAGTGCCTTGAAAAACAAACTTTTTTTCCATTTGTGACTGAATCACACATCAAGAGCGTTCCTTTTATAATCACTGAAGTTATCAGTCAGTTCCGTATAATACCATAGAAGAATAATGGTACATTTAATAAGAGTAGAATATGTTCATTTTCAATATAAAACTTAGATTTTGCACTTGTTAGTGTTGTTAATAAAAGTAAATTTTGTATGCTTCCCAACTCAAGCTCAGTGCTTTACTGTCAAATGTGCATTACCAAGAAATAAACGTGTAATATTATTAGTAACTGTACTTATTAATGTAAAACAATAATAATTTTATGATTAAATTATCTTTCTTTTTAATACCCCACACACCACCCCCCCCAGTGCTACCAAACCTGTTTCTGATCCCACCATCTGTAGAACTTAGTGGCACTGGTGTCACTGCTCTCAAATGTTAGTCTGGAGCCCTGACTGTACTGAATAATGACAACAATCAACTGTCATTCCCACCAAATGTTTCTGCATTCACAGTGAATTCACTTGGTATTAACTGGCACTTTAAATGCAGCTCCTGCTACACATGTGACTGGATTCTGTCTCTGATTTTATGACTACATATTAGGGGTGTGCCAAATTCAGAATTAAGAATTGGCTCCTTTTCAGTTCATGAGTGTGAGTTCAAATTGGCCACCCCACACAGGAAGTTGAACTGGATTTAGTGGAAGTAGAATTTACTGAATTGCAATTCAAATTATTTTTACAAGTACTGGCATTCTGGGAAGTGTTCTTTTGGTCAAAAAAACAAAAGTTTATTTTCAACACAAATTAACTCCTCAACATAGTCAAGACCTCCCAATAACAAATGTTATGCCTATAAATAAAATGTATAGCCTAATTCTCATTCAAAACGTACTAATTGACTTCTAGCTGACCCATTCACCATTGTGGACCACATTGAGGCAACTCTCGTCTTGCTTCATGCTACACAAGGAACATGAGGAAAATCCAGCCCTCCATTAATTACTACTCTGCTAAGCTGTTTGTTATTGTAGGCTCTAATTATTTCATGGCTAGTCTATACTGCCACTACTCACCATCCCACCTGCATTAGCCTCACGTCTGCTTGAGCCCATTCAAAATGCTCCCACTCGATAAGTGTTTAACCTCTATATATTCTCTTATGCCATGCTCTCTACAATTGCTCCCATTAACTGCTAGAATTAAATGCAAACCCCTGTTTCTATTTCCCACACCCAGGGCCACTCCTTAACTTCTACAGACAGCTAGAACAGTAAAATCACAACTTACTTTCAAATAAAGCCAACAAGAGAGACAGCTTTTCATAATTCACCTAGGATTCACACTCACCTCATATGAATCAATTAAACATTAAATTAAAATTAATGACTCTACTAATCTTTAAATATTTGTCTGAAGCTACTTCAAAAAAAACAAAAAAAAAAGATTTCAAAAGGTATACTGCTATAATTGCTTTAACATCAGCCAAAGATGATAAATGGATCATAATTGATGTATACTAAAAGTGCAGGCAAATTCTTGTTAAAAAATAAAACAGATGAAGAATAAAAATGTAAATATCCATGAATAACGTACTTATAGAAAACCAAGTGTCAATATGGTAACAATAAGGTAAATGGGTGTGGCTGAGAAACAGGGTACTTTACATATTAACTAGGAGGAGTAGTGCTTTGCCAGTTGGGTGATGAGAGGACTGAGGCACTTCACAAATCAAACAAGAGAATACGATGAAAAACGAATTAATTTTTAAGGTAACCATTGTAAGCTCTTGACATCTGACAAGTTTAACAAGGCACACAAAATTGACACAAAGCTTCACGGGTTGTAATTTGTCAAGTGATTGTGTAAAACATCCAAATGTGTTTGCAAAAGTTAACCCAAACATGATGAGCCAGATGTATATTACAAAGAAGAGTTAAGAGTTTCAGTTAAATAACAAATGATCAAACCCATACTGGCGACATAAACCACAAGGGGAAATACTGATATGTGTTTTAATACTGATAGCAGACTTACCCCTTGTGCAGACACTGCATACAAGACAACAGGTAACACAAAACTCCTGTGAATGGAAATGAACAAAACCATCAAATGTGCTCGAGAAAAATAAAGCGCTTTATTTAACTCGGTGACTACAACTGACAGTTCACTATTTAACATCCAAGCGTCTGGATTTGTAACCACGCGTAATAAAATGACATCTCTAGATATAAATATACTTACCAAAGCTTCATTTTGCAAAGCTTTGAGAAAAACGCAGGTAATGTATCCTCGGCGTCTTCACAGAAAGCTTCTGTTAATGGCTTCAGACCTATTCATTTGAGAATCCGGTGAGCGGTTCGTCCACTTCGAAGGGCAAGGAGAGATAAGGATAAATATAAACAATTAAACGAGAGATGAAAATATAATTTTGCACATGCAATAAATATTTTATGAAGTTTTGTTTCAGTGTGTCCTCTGAGAATAAGAGAAGTTCACTCACAAGAAACTTCTGTGTTGGAAACGCTCTCCTCGCGGCAGAGTCGATTCACGCACCGCTGCAAGTTGTTGCGCTCTGAGAAGAGAAGAGGGCGGGATTTTCACCCGTCAATCACTCGCGCCTCACGCTTTTGCCTCCAAACAAACAGCGATAACAACCACGGACCATAACAAACAGCGATAACAACCAGTAAACAGTGTACCACTCATGTAAGCTGAAATAATGTAAATCTCACACACGACTGGACATAATAAAACATAATGAAAATTACATGAACACATAAATTGATCAGAAAGGAATTCAAGTAACTCCACACAGATGAATGCAATTACAGTTAGCAAAAAGCAAAAAAAAAAAAAAAAACTCAATATTAATCATCAGTAGCAGGCTGTAAAATCAATAATGTTAACTTTAAAATAAGAGAAGAGCACAAGTAAACCTTCCTCTCTATCTTCATTTATGTCAGCAAATGGAACTGCAACAAGTAGAATTATTGGGCAAAAAAGTTGCCCTTTAAATAATATAGCCTTTCTGTGATAGCATACATCCTCATGTTTGATATACACATGGTGCTATATATATATATATATATATATATATATATAGGCCTATATATATATATTTTTTTTTTTCCAGCCCTGGTCATGGATAAGTCTTTAAGGATTACAATGACCCAAAACATACCGCCAAGGCAACAAAGGAGTTTCAATGTTTGTCTGTGATGCGTCCTCCGCCACGACATCGATAACAAATCCCCTAATAATATTAAAAGAAAAAAACAGCGAGTAAAATAGTTTATATTGATGCGTTATCCAACAAAAAAGCATCAGAGACATTTAAATTTAACTTTTCATCCTCCCATAAAATTACAGCTTAAAGTCTGTATGGATCTAGAATGATTTTTGGCGGAGGGATATGAAATAGGGCGATGAGCAAGTAAAGGGGATTCAGTAAAGTGACGGTACATTATTGCGAGCGCTGCCAGCACTGGACAGCCTTGAGACTGTACAAGAATCCTTCTGTAACTTTTGGGGGGGGAAACGTGCTGGTTTTGCAGTTAGCTTAACGGAGGAATATGAAAGGTTCAATACGTGTTCATAGTTGTAACTGTGAATGTTAAGAGGGCAGATTCTTTGAAAATCAGCATGAACTTAAAGAGTCTCGGCGCTGTGTTACTGGTGTTCTTCACTATAAGTACTGAGGTGCGCAAATCGGAGTCTGCGGTAAGTGAAAATTGCTTGTTACTTGTTTTAGTTAGGCCTATATCTTAAATTGAAACAACCGTTGCCATTGCTTTAGATCAATCACAAACGCTTTAGCTCAAGTTTAGCCTATAAACACAGGTTACTTTATAACATGAAAGAATTGGTTTCCTTGAGATCGGTAAGAACAAGTGCAAAACTTCTGTGACTTGGGATATCCATGGGATGGTATATTCATGAACAATCGTTAAGATACAATCCGTTATATCTATTGAGTGCAAGTGCAGAGATATGCACATCACATTTTAATAGTCCCAACTGCATGTAGAAACATGTAGGATGTTCTTTTAACACGTATTATCAATGTTGAATATAAAACAGCCACTTTATTTACCATTCAGTAATAACTGTGAAGTTTCTAACTTTATAGGCTATCTATTTTTATTTTATTTTATTAATTTTTGTTGTTGTTGTTGTGTCTGCTTTTTTTTTTACTTATGTATTTATTATCAGTATTTTTTATTTCATTAATACACATGTAGTCGTTCTCATGCTCATAATTTGTTGCACAAATGTTACTGGTATAAGTGAATGGGTTGCAATCTGATTACTGACACTGTATTTGTATTTGCACATTACATGTGACATTATTGACAGGTTAAATGCCAGTTATTTACTCATCACAAACTTGATGTGAAATGATAAGGAAAAATGATTCTCATCTGTAAAATTTCCATATGAACCCATTCATTGAGCACAATTTTTGTCTTGTTAGCCATCACGCCACAGAGTGATCCTGGTCAATCTGACATGCTTTGCATGCCTGCATTTTTGTACCTGATTGGATACATTGCCGCAAATACAAAGATATGGCATCACTATGTGACCAGTTCATTGTCCAGCTGTCAGAGTAGTCAATAGCAGGAGGCAGACAGGTGAGGACATGTTTAGGGAGGGACCTGTCATAGAGGTACAGATACAGCAGGGACAGAAGAGCACATGTGGTGACCTTACAACAAAACACATCATGTTCCTACATTTCCCAAAAGGGCATTATTGCGCACCAGTTCCAACAGGGAGTTAAAATGTTTGCACATTTCTTCCAAATGATTGGCTGTTGAATTGTTGTGATTCTCAGTAAAAATTCTGGAGCTCTTTCGTTTTACTCCTAAGGTACTGCCCAGTTTCTGTTTCTCAGTTAACAAGGTGAAAGGTGGCATCTGTCATTCATAGAGGGAGGAGTTTGCTAGCCATCAGGACAGGCATGTAGACATATAGTGCCGCCCATCCCCCAAGAGCAAGACCACACATTCAATAAGTGAATCTAACCACAGCCTATTGTTCATACAACCTCTTAACCCCTCAAGTCCTTCAAAAAAAATGCCAGTTTATACTTACCACCCCCCAGTCCAATATGTCTCTGTGTTTGCCTGATTGCACTGATTATTTTGGCCAATTCCAAACTTGAAACATTTGTTTTATAATGTGACACAAATTGCCGCCCATCCCCCAAGAGCAAGACCACACAACCCTCAGGTCTATTCAATAAGTGAATCTAACCACAGCCTGTTGTTCATACAACCTCTTAACCCCTCAAGTCCTTCAAAAAAAATGCCAGTTTATACTTACCACCCCCCAGTCCAATATGTCTCTGTGTTTGCCTGATTGCACTGATTATTTTGGCCAATTCCAAACTTGAAACATTTGTTTTATAATGTGACACAAATAGATATATCCTTGAGGCTAGAGTTCCATGCTTTAGCATATGCTCAATGATGCTTTTTAAAAATACAGATAGTGAATCTGACATTGTTCACGAGAGTTTTAATATCCTCAGAACAGGCCTCAAAGCAAGTTAGTTCAGAAGCATGATGGACACCAGGGCCATCGCTAGACCCATTTTACTGGGACATGGGAACAGTAATACCACTGTGCCCAAGTATACTATTATTGATAAATCCTTGTCTGATCATTTTCACTGATAATGTTTTAGCAATCATGTCATGTGTCTGTTTAGAATCAGAACTAGTGATGCTGGATTTGTGAAAGAATAACTATTGATCTAATTGGTTAAACGGTATTGCAAAAAGGTCTGAAATAGTTTAAATCGTTCATTGATTCAGATGAATTAATTTAGACAGTTCACTCATGCATAGAATTGTCTGCAGCTGTTTCTCACATCATAACGAAATACTTTATAAGTCATAAAGCAAAAAGAGCGCAGAATGAGGTGGATATTTTCCTACAATCCATTGTAGGTAACAAAACTTGCAAATGTCTTCTATCGTTTATCAACAATAAAGTAGCTCTTTATTGTACGTGCAGCTTGTGAAGACAGTTTATATCCATTTATCCATAACATTATCAAAAAAAGTATTAAAATATGGGAAACTTTGTTGATTGGGGGCCTATGCCCCAGTACAGATGAAAGGCTAGAAACGCTCCTGGTGGATATCTAACTAAGGGATGTCCTTTTGAGGAGCCATTGCAGTGTGAAAGAACAGATTTTCTCCTATTTTTAAAATGTCAAAGCCATTTAACTCAAAGCAGAATGGAATTCTTGGCCACAATTCCCACCCTTCTGTCTTCACCTAGTGGTGAAATCTAGTATCACATGACGAAGTGTATTTTAAGTGTCAAAAATGTCCTTTGTCAGTAATATCTATCTATCTATCTATCTATCTATTTTGTTTATATACGAACTGAAATTGTAATCATCTGGGATATTTTAGGTTTATGTTCTTGTGGAGATGCCAGAACCTGGTGTCACCAGGTCATCGAGTTTGTTGGTAACTTGAACCATATAGGGGTCTGCTTTGAACATTTCATACTTGACGGACTCCATAAACTGTGCAGGTCAAGGTGTATGAATATGTATGGGTGTGTGTGTGGTGTCTGTACGTGTTCTGCTTCAGATATGTGTGTGAGCGCAGATATGAGCACACTTTTTACATGCCGGGATGTGTATATATCAACTTATATATACATAATATGCGTACGCACATACATGTCGGTGTGCCTTTGTACATGTCTCTGTGTGTGTGTGTGTGTGTGTGTGTGTATGTGTGTGTGTGTGTACCTGTTTTTCTATTCTGGTGGGGACTTAAACCTGAATACACACAGACTCATGGGGACTCGTGTCACGGTGGGGACCTAAATTGAGGTCCCCACGGGTAAACAAGCTAATAAATCACACAGAATTAAGTTTTTTGAAAATCTAAAAATGCAGAAAGTTTCCTGTGAGGGGTAGGTTTAGGGTTAGGTTTGGTGTAGGGCAATAGAAAATACGGTCTGTACAGTAGAAAAACCATTACACCTATGGAGAGTCCCCACAAGGATAGCTGACCAGACTGTGTGTGTGTGTGTGTGTGGGTGTGTGTGTAATAGAATCCACCAAAACCCCTAAAGTCACAAATGATGAAGCACCTCAAATCTCAAAATAAAAAAAAAACAGACAAAAACAAAAAAAAGTCAACCCAAACATCAGCAATCTGTGTTCACAACCATAACATCCATTCAGTGCAGATCTATCCACTCTGAGTGCCTGGGTTTTGCTGCAGTCTCATGCCAGGGAATGGGGACCAAGGTAGGGGTTGGCAGCTCATGATAGTTCTTTCTTTCCTAGAGGACAAGCAAATTCCAGTCTTATCTCAGCTGCAGGAGAGAGAGAGAGGATCATGAGATGTGTACAGGCAGCCATGCAAGAAACTTATTTCAAAACAGGCCCACAAGCACTTGCAATGCTCACTATGACAGCTTTTATTTACAAAACTAGGCATGGTCTTTATTTTTATAACGTCTATGTCTAGTTTTATAGAAATGGACCGTGGTCCATTGGTGATTCATAAAATGCAAGTCAGCGGCT